CGTGGACTCCAAGTCTCTCGGGTTGCTTTCCTTCCAAAAATAAGTTTCGTGAAGTTTCAGGTCAATTGGACTCCGTTTGATTTTCCTTTTCTGCGATACTCTAAAATAGGGAAAAAACAGAAACTGGCACTGGGCTCTGGGTTAACAGGTTAGTCCCAAAAATAATATAAAAGTGTATAATAAAGCCCATAAACATCCAAAACAGAAGATAATATAGCATGGAGCAATTAAAAATTATAGATACGTTGGAGACGTATCACATGTATTTGTATCGTTGCCATTGAGAATAAAACGATGGGGTTTATTCATATTGCTTGAGTTTACTTTGTCTATATCATGTCATTTTGCTTAAGGCGTTACTGTGTTCTTTATGAACTTAATACTCTAGATGCATGTTGGATAGCAGTCGATGTGTGGAGTAGTAGTAGTAGTAGTAGTAGATGCAGGCAGAAGTCGGTCTACTTGTCTCGGACGTGATGCTTATATACATGACCATTGCTTTGGATATTGTTATAATTATTCGTTTTTCTATCAATTGCCCAACAGTAATTTGTTTACCCACCATCTTTTGTGCTATTTCCAAGAGAGAAACTTCTAGTGAAAACTATAGCCCCCGGGTTTATTTTATCATATATTGAAAATCCAAAAATACCTTGCTACAATTTATTTATCTTTATCTTTATTTTGTGTTTTTATTTATCTATCTATCACTATGAGATTTGATCCTTGGAATTAACCGTCAAGGGATTGACAACCCGTTGTTTACGTTGGGTGCAAGTATTTGTTATTTTGTGTGTAGATGCTGTTAACAAGGTATTGTGTGGTTTTCCTACTGGATTGATAACCTTGGTTCTTAACTAAGGGAAATACTTATCTTTATTGTACTGCATCATCCTCTCCTATTCGAGAAAACTCCAACGCAGCTCACAAGTAGCAGTTATCCATATAGTTGCATATCTAGACAACCTATCTTTTTTGAGCTAAAAATTGAGAACAAAGTTAAAAAAAATTAGTTGCCTATTCACCCCCTTTTAGTCAACCATACCGACTGTTTCACAAATGTTTCTAAAAACTCTCCCAATTTGCTCGTTCCAAATCTCCCATGAAGCAAGCATGAGGAGGATTGTGTTGTCGGTGCCATTTTGGCCCCTAATGTTGGCCATTGAACACCACCAATTCGTGGGACGAAGGAAGTTGTCCCAATCTTCCGTGTGCAAATCCACCATCCCGAGTCAAAGCTTGACTTGCTCCCAAATGTGCGTGGTGTATGTACGCTTGAAGAGCAAGTGTAGATAACATTCATGCTCTCTCTTGCACAAGTGGCAAAACCCGCATTAGGACAACCACGCCATTGGAGGCAATTCGCCATCGAAACCCTATCCTGAAGAATGATCCAAGCAAATAACGTGTGCTTGGGAGGATCCCAATTTGCCCAAACAACGAGCTTAAGAATGGAAGCATTCAGATCCCCAAGTTGTGCCTTGCATGTCTAGGAGGTGGAGTAGGAGCCCGACATTGTAGTGCTCCACTCGATGGTATCCTCTTTGTCATTTTGAAGGTGTGTGCCCCGAAGCTTGAGCCAAAGACTATAGAAATCCATAGTGTGTTGCACCAAGAGCCCCGAATTGTATTTGATGTTGCCAATCCACTTTTCATTGCGCAAAGCATCACAAACAATCAACTTCTTACTCTGTTTTTATATAGCATAAATGGATGGAGCAGTGTCTTTTGGCTTTGGATATTGCAACCAAGGCAATTGCCGAAGTTTGTAGTTTTACCATTGCCAATGGTGATTGTCATCAATCTATAAAAGAGATCCATGTCAACCTCATCACATGGGTGGCCAAGCCACACCCAAGCTCTCTCTGGTTTGGTCCACTCAATCTATGGTTAAAGGAGTCGAAGGGCACGCGCAAATTTGTCCAAGTCAATGATCTAAAGGCCACCAAACTCCTTGGGCCTACAAACTTGCTCACATTTGACTTTGCACCTACCACCTGAGACCTTGTCCATTCTTTCCCAAAGGAAACCTAGCTCTATTTTGATGATAGCCTTCATTGATCCCTTGGGAAGGATCATGGGAATGATATGATAAAAAAAATGCGAAGATATAACATACTGAGCCAAGGAGTTTATTTCAGCCACCATGACATGCATGGCATCCCGTTTCACGAGTTGCTTGCCCTTTTGTCATGCAAGTGCTGAAAATCAACCGCCCTCGGTCGGTGCATGGAGAGAGGAAGCCCGAGGTATCAAAACCGGAAAGTGTCCCTAACCGCTAGGAAGCCAAGGAGAACATCACCGAGACCAACATCTGAACAACGAATTGGAGCCACCGATCTATTGATTGCTTCCTATCACACAACCAACTGGGAAAGCTCCCCCGTCGTGCCTAGTATACTTATTTTTACTATTGTCCTGCACCATCTAGACTATGTTTTTCTTTGTTTTTGTTTGGCCGATTTTTCTTTTTCTTTTCCATTTCCTCTTTCTCTTTCTTTTTTCCTGTTAATTTCCTTTTAAAAAATTTGCGAACCTTTTTAAAAATAATGATCCTTTCTTAAATTCATGAAGCTTTTTTCAAATTCATGAACTTTTTCTTAAATTCATGAACTTTTTTCAAATCCGTGAACATTTTCTCAAAAAATCGTGAAATTTTCATTAAATTCGTAAACAAAATTCAAATTTGCGAACTTTTTTCCAAATCTGTATTTGTGAACTTTTTTCTTAAATGCATCCCCACAAACTTTCTTCAAATTCATGAACTTTTTTCAAAGTTGATGACCTTTTTCTAAAATCTTTGAAGTTTTTTCAGTTTTTGTGAACTTCTTCAAATATCATGATTTTTTTTCATTTCTTTTAAAATTTTCTGAAATATGTGAACTTGTTATCAAATGTCATGAACCTTTTCAAATTCATTCACTTTTTAAAATTGTTGAACCTTTTAAGATTCATGAACTTTTTTCAAATCCATGAAATCTTTTGAATTTATAATCTTTTTTAAAATTCATGAACTCAATCCGCGCACTTTATGAAATTAGTGGGAAAAAACTCAGATTCGCAAACTGTTTTAATCTAATGAACTTTTTTTACTCAAAAAATGGCAAACGAGTTTTTAGTGAACAAGAAAGCAAAAAAAGAGGGAAAAAGTGAACCAATGAAAAAAATGGAAAAGGCGAGTGAGCCCGAGCAAGAGAACGACGGCCGCAAGCGAGCGACCATCAGCCCGTGTCAGGCCAGGCCCAGATGACCAGCGCATGTGCGCCACATAAAGTAAGCGGCGCTACATGTGCCAAAGAGGAGGTCACGGCAAGAGAGTATCCCCTTGACGGAGGCCATGTCCATGAAGGATAGGCATACCAGGCACACCATTAAGTATGACTCCGGAAGGAAGATGTGTGAAGTAAGGCCGACAACCAATCGGGAAACCTCGGTGCTGCAACAGCTCAAGCAGGTACTACCAACGGACGGAATCAAAAGCCTTCCAAATATCCAATTTTAGCAAAAAGATGGCATGCGGGTCGTCTGTAGACAACAACAACAACAACAACAACAAAACTTTTAGTCCCAATTCCCAAACAAGATGTCCGGTTGTTCTGTGTTTCTAAAAAGAAAATACTAAGTACAAACGTGCCAGTATCCATGTGGTATCACAGAATGGCACAGCCGGTGCTCCTTCGCAAGCATACCGTTTCCTTAAGCGCGGGGTGTTGCTTGTCGAGTGCTAGCAGGATGCGAGAAAATATGCATGCACACAGAGAGAGTACCGCTATGTATCTATCCGTCCGTCACTGTCTGCATTCTGCAGCCGTGCTGTTGGTTCGCGCCTAGCCGTTATCGTGGCCTTTAAAGTTCGTTACCGTTGTCCAGTCCGTTGCCGCCTGCTACCATTCCTCGCTGTCAAGACTGTCAGCGCTGAGCCAAGCCCAATCAAACACGCAGATAATCTACGCACCTAACATTCATTCGGTTTCGACACATAAGGCTACGAACTTACGACGAAGCAAGTGCGTGGCAGAGGCTGGATCTGAGGAACACGACGACAATGGCGATCTGAGGAACACGAATGACCAAAAGGCCGGATGGAACGCGACATGAAAGCGGTTCCAGGGAAAGGGAGAGGAAGATGAAAAGAAAAAGGGCTGGCGATATTCATAGTGTGTATCTCAGCGAATTACTGCTATAATTGCTGTCGTGCTGCCCCTTTTTATGCCGCTGTCGAGGCAGGCAGGTCCAAGCAGCCCACGCATCTAACTTTTCCTTCCACATAAATGTCCAAAATAAGCATTCGTGTCGACCAGGCTAGCTTTCCTCCCCCGTGATTTGATGATCTCCATTCAATTGGCTTCAAAATCAGGATGTACTGTGCAATAGCGCAGCAACCCTTTCAGGACTACACGATCTAGAACAGCATGATCTAGAACATCTCAGCCACTGAGGAAGCACTTGAGAAGAAGAAGCATGTGGAATGGAGCTAGCTACTCCCTCCGATCCAAAATAAGTGCCGTCGTTTTGAACTAAGGTTGAACTTGAGTTTGCCTGGATAGGTGGCAAGTTCTTGGATTTGGAGAATAGGAATGTCTCTCGAAGTTCAGATGACACAAACCTGGGCAATGAGCTGACAAAAAGGAAAACAGATTTACTTGCACCCGGTGGTGGCCGGCCAAATGCCAGCGTGGGTTAAGAACACAGATCCCATGGAAACAGTTTATAGCCAGATAGGAAAAAGTTTGGAGCCAGAGCAGTTGACATGGTCAGTGGCAATTGACAGATCCAGAGAAGCAATAGGTAGATAGATACATAACATGAGCTTGCATGGGATTACAATCAGGAGGGAACAAACAAGACACCGGAGAGTAGACTAGAGATGCTCACTTCGAGTTATTATAAGTATTTCAATACAGGATTAGCTAACAATCATAGGGGTCCTAGAGTAGACATGATGCAACAGCAGCAGAAGCAGCAGCTTGACGATGGAGAGGAATGGCAGCGGCAGCAGCCTAGCTGCTGCTTGAAGACGACGACGACGTATCGGACTCGCAGTCCCATGCAACCTCGTAGACCTGCACCCTGTGGTGGAAGCTGCGGTGGCAGCCGCAGGCCGAGCACTTGAGCGCGCCGAAGGTGCCCTCCTCGCCCTCGGCGATGAACTCCCGGCAACCGTCCACGGCATAGCCCCCCGTGCTGGCGGCGTGGTTGCGGCGGCACTCGCCATACCGCACACCGCAGCAGCTGAACCGCACGATCGGCTCGCACCTCCTCAGGACCACCAGCCTCTTCATCACGAGGTGGCCTCTCTCTTCTTCCACTATGCTCCCAGCTAGCTTGTTTTCAGCACAAACCAACCCCTATCCATCGCACTGCATATTTATAGACAACCTCCTTCCCCTCCTTCGCCTAATGATACATCGTTTCCGACGGACAAAGTGCATGCTAACCTGCATAAACTTGACACATGATCACCCACTCATGCATGTGGAGACCTAATTGGGCTGGCTCAATTGATGGTCCAGCAAACTCCACCTCACATTAGCAGTGGTGGGCAATTCTTGGGCCATTAAGGCAAACCTTAGATGAGAGTCCTACCATTCTGCCCTACCTCGTTCTCCGGGTGTGTGTTGTGTGTTCTTTCCCTCTCCTTTTCTTCGTTTCATATAATTGGGGTGACCAGTTAAGGATACTTGAATCTTAAGGATCCCAAAGGAGTAGGCCCCTTCGGTCGAAAGGATATCATCAGCATTTGCATGCCAGCCTAGATATCTAAGAAGGCAGGGTGTTGGTTTCATTTGCTCATTCTCTGGCCACCAGGCACCTGTTGCTCTACCCCATCCCTGCGCAATAGATTTCCTTTACTGTTTCAGCATGTGGCATAGTGTGTGGACATGAATTTCTATATTGATTTAGACTCCTAAACAACAATTGACCGAGTGTGATAGGGGAAAAGCTAAAGTGCAATCATATACAGCAAATGAAGGGATCACAATCATGCAATCGTCGCAAAGGTGAAAAAAATATCTTTTAATCAAGCATGCAACAATGTACTTACCCCTACGGATTAGCGACTCAGAATGGAAGAATAACGGTATAGGATGTCCTGAAAACAAAGATGGCTTAAACAGTGATGACACAGTCTTCTTGGTTGAATACCAAACGTACCAGAAGCATTCAGACATTGCAGGGCAACCCAAACATGCTATTACATGTAGGCTATGGATGGTCCCTATTTGAGTGGGGTCCAAGGTCATCACGCCTTCACCTTTCTTACGTGCTGCATCTACTTCAAAAGCAAGGATTTAAAACATCTGTCAGACAAAAAATACAAACCCTCAATTTAATGATATTCAATAGTTTTGCAAGGATAGCATGCCTATTTTAATATGTGAAATCTTATAGTAATGCAAAACATATGAAGGAATCTCAACTTGACAAACAAAGGGTATAAAGATTCATCTGATAGGGACATGTGAAGCCTATTATTTTGTGCTTTCCATCCCAAAGTTCAGATCTTGAGACAGGAGAACATAACACCAAGAGAAATAACATCATGGAGAAAAACAAATTTCAAAGCTGCAATAGTGTGTGCTGTGGAGTAACATTTGGAAGTAGTGAAAACCTGCAGGAATATTCTGAGCTGACAAAGATAATCATTCAAGGGAAGAACCATGCCAACTCCCTTCTTTGCATCTGGGATTAGGCTTAGGTAGTTCACAAAGCAATCACATCACCTTTCTTCAGAACAAGTGCAGAGATCACATGGAACAACAAGAAGAAACATGTGCATTCTTGTCCTAGGCAGGCTTCGTCCATTGAGAACTCGGTCTCAGACGCAATGCAACCTATTGGAAATACCATGATACTGGCTTATGTTTCGTTGGAATGCCAGCACATGTCGAAAGAGATTAGACACCGGAAGCTTTTGCCTTTTCCTCTTAACTACCCAACCACAGAAGAGAATGAGTGTTAGAGACATCCTTTCCCTCGTACTGATGCCATGCTTTACGTGGTGTAACTTTGCTTCAGTAAATATGCTTGACTAATTCAAATTTTAGTTGTAGATACAAACTCCCTGTCATCATATCACCTTAACAAAAAACTATATATGTCTTAAAGATATATTTGCAGCCCAGTCACTGGATGATATTTTATGGTGGAAACTAGGCAGAAAAGTGGGCAAGGGAGATGGAAAGCATATAATCAGAGCTAGCAACTAGCCCGAATATTAAATGAATCACAGGAAGCAGCATCAAATTACCGACCATCAGTAGGAGTGTGCTCATAGATCACTGTTCAGCTGCCATAGCCTTTCTTTTCTTTCAAATCAACCTTTGACCAAGTGAAGAAAGGATGCAACGGGCCAATGGTCAAGTATAGTCTTGTGTGAAAAATGGAACAGCATATAAGTTCGTGATAAATAAAACAGTGACATATGCACTCAAAAGCAGAGCCGCTCAATTATTTTGTTAGCTTATTAAATTGCCTTGATAGGACAAGCAAACAACAGACCTACAGATTCCATAGCTAAGTTTAAAATGTCTAGGAAATAGAAATCAGTTTCAGGTAAATCAAGTTCGTCTAAATATAAAAACCATATGCAGTAGAACATTCAGCGTTACAGACTGCAGCAACTTGGACACTGAGGTATTTACCTGTAACATACAGTAACAGGAAAAGAAAGGTTAAGAATCAGCCGTAAGATAATTCTGGCATCATGGTTCATGAATCCTTTCCACCTGCCAACAAAAAGTGCTTCAGCATTTGCCTCATTTATGCAAAGGACCATAACATTCATGATAGCGCTGATTGACTGTCCTGATGGAAGATACAGTGTTATGTACCTCAGTGCTTGAATAGAAAGGTTCCACCTTTGACCCCGTACCAGGAAAAAGCTGCCAATTTGCAGTAGGCCAAACCATTGGGCTATTTAAGTTTTTGAACTACATTCAAATAATATTGCCAAGATAAACTTAAAATGAAAACCATGATCAAGTGACCATTTTCCATTTAGAAAATTTTCAGTATATCAACTATGCAAACAACTTTAAGAGCAGGAGGTTTAACTGTTATACGAATATATTTTCAGCAAGCATGCTGCATGCAACGCAGCTGTGTATTGTTCAATTTCAAAAGAAAAGAAACCAAAGAAATTCTTTATTGGCAAGACCAAAACTCCAAAAGTGCTATTGAATGTGACCACTTGGATCTCTGCTGGATAGTTCATTGCCAGGCTTTGTACATGTGTGAATTAGTTATGTAGGGGTAGAGTCATGCACAAATTCATCAACAATTACAGAAGTGAAGCAACCAACGATGAAAATATGCATGCTGCGACCCATTAGCAAACATCAAGCAGCATAAGGGAAAGTTGAAGTTCTATGCTCAGCATTGATATAGGGTAAATTAATATGACTTGGGCTCTCAAAGAGTAAACATAATCAATGTTCCAAATATCGGC